AATGTCCACCAGTAAATTAAAAATTATTTATAGGTTTTAGCATGGCAAGACCTATTCGCGTGCAATGAAGAGGGATCCAAGTCAAGGATTTTAGATCAAACATATGTAGATCATTCAGTTATCTCCTTTTAGCATCTTCACCTCCAAAAAGGATCAAAACAGAGCTTGCCTTAACTATAGTGTGACCACCATTAAACATAAGTTACAGACCAACCCGAACCCTAACTTGGCTGAATCCAACTCGTTCGCCATTAAAACTTCGTTCGAGCAAAAAATTGAGCAAACCAAACGACGTGAATAACACACCTCATCGGGACGGTGTGAATAACAAAAAAATTGAGAAACCGAATATGATCTTGTTGAGATCACCCCCAAGGACGGCCCGTTCCAAACTGAGGATCCGTTGCAGACGAGTCCAGCGACGACGACGTAAGTGTCGACGGCAATACCACTATCATGGAAATCAAATATCATGAATGCATGCAAAACCGGAATCAAATCCGAGCACAAAAAGTGGAATCTCGTTTTGGCCATTTCTTGAGTTCGGGTTTAAAATCAAGTTGTGTTTTTAATGGGGCTTCCTTGGGATTCATGTTCATGGTGTTGTCCCCGACGAAACTCCTAGGTTTTTATATGCTTATAAATTATTATGCGCCAAAACTTCGACATGAACTTGACATCCCTACCTCCAAATCAAGTGATTTTTGAGTCTAAGTTTATTAATTTTTTCCTTGTCTATCTAAGAGTATGCTCAGTTGCATCCAGTTTTGTCTGAAAAAACCATTTTACCCCCCAAAATAAAAAAGTGAGTAGTTCTGAAATGGAGTATATTGCCCCCCTGCAGACACCAGATTCCTCTTTCCAGTGATATATATATAAGTGGAATTACATATATGCCCCGTATAATTATCATTTTAGAAAAAATAAAAATATGATAACTGAAATAACCTGTTAGTAATGCAAAACCAGTCTTTGTCCATCATCTTTGTCAACCTATTTGAAACCTAGAGAACAAAACATAGAAATCATGTTGTTGAATATAATAATTTTCTAAAAACAGAATAGTAAAGAAGATTCATAGCGTAACGAATCGTGCTCTAAAGATTCGACATTTATCATCCTATAGTAGTTGTGGATTTAGAGTATGAGCTGTGTGGTTACAACTTACGTGTGCATGGAATGTGCTTAAATTTCATCTGGCCATATATATTTTGTTGGTAAAGATCCTTTAATTTCTAGGCAAGAGAATTTAAAAGCATTGCCTGAACAATAATTAAATTTATTGTGACCGGGTGCTAGTTGCCGTCGATGCTACCTTATTGACGAGTAAGTGTGGGCGGACACTAGGAATTGTCATTGCTACCACACATTTGAGTACGTCGTGGGCGGGTTCTGGTCGCTATTCATACTGCCATGTCGTCTTTGTTTAGTACTTTGATTTGATTCATGGATATCTTGGAGTTCTATTGGTGGCTGGAGAAAAACGATCAGAAGGAAATTCTAAGAGTACACGACTCGACGAAATGTGAAAATGAATCCCGTACGAGGATTCAGGCTCCAGACGAGATATTTAGCAATAACTTTCGTTAATTGCACAATGACCCCTACAAAAAGGGTTAACTGCAAAACTGCTCTTGAAAGAAAATATCTTTTGGTTAAACATGTACTTAAAAAGCATATCCAATCATTCAATTACATTATATTATTACTTTAAAATGAGTTAAATGTCTATATTGAACATGATAAAAACATTACTTTACTCTAGAAAATAAAATAAAATAAATATTTAGCCGAAATGAAATAAAATAATTAATAAAATTCACAGACCCTCTAAGTTGCCTCGCCAATATACGATCTAGCGTCTGATTTATACAAATACATAACAATTAGACAACCAAATCGATCACTACGACTGATCCCCAAAACAACCATCATCATTATCGATCAAAAGGACTACACCAAGTGGGTAGAAGCTCAACCCTTGGTTACCACCACGGCAAATAACGTTAAAGACTTTACTTGGAAGTCTATAGTATGCAGGTTTGGAGTTCCCTATGTCATTGTGTGAGACAACGGGGAGGAAATAATTTGGGATGAATTTTGAATCAGTAGCATCTTTATGTGTATAAAAGCATAGTATGACATGTCTTTTCCATTAAATTTTAATACTGATGGACAAGTGTTCCATTTGGCTGAAAAAGAAATAAAAAATGATATATGGGTTGAAGTTTTCACGTTTACTTTAATTTCCTCATAAATAATGTGATTTGGGATAAAAAAAAAATAAAAAGAAAATGAGATAAAAAGCTTGACACATCTATATCTTTGTCAAAATATAAACATAAAAGGAAAAAAGATGAGATTGTCAGGGTTGGGCAAGCTGGAGATCCTGGAAAATTTCGATTCAAGTACGTGTGATTTTAAAGACCTATCCAACCTCAAAAATCTTAGGAAACTGGCAGCACATATTTGGAATGATGACGTGGTGGTGGTTGACTTCGTCAATTATCTAAGCAGCCCCAGTCGGCTACGGCTAGCCTAACTCCTAGTTTTGCTTTGGTATCTAGAGATTCAATTCTCTAGTGAGGTATTGAACTATTATTTTGAAGTATTTTATGTCATTATTGAGTGTTTTACATGCATGGAAGAGAAGGACTTGTATTTTGCCCTTAAACTGTTTTAACTTGAAATTAATCTTGTCAAATGAGTTTCGAATCTAGAGATTTAATGAATTTAATTTGATTTAAATTCTAGTTAATTGTGTTTTGCTTGTATTCCATCTTAGATTTGATATATGGTATGACCATGACTTAGTGCTTGTTAGATATTAATTTGGGATCATTTGAATAACTTTTGAATTCTAGAGATTTAATTAAATCAGGAACATTCCCAAAAGAACCGAACAAGGACCGTACACAAGATCACACCAAGAAACAGATCATAAAGTACGATTAGTGTTATCTCGAGTGCTCTGGAGTGATTTCCGAGACTCTTTTCTGTGGATTGACAACTTCCTTTGAGGACCGAGTCAGTTCCGCACCTTTCGTTTTTTGACACTATTCACTTTTCGTCTTTTTCCCTATTCCGTCTTTTTCCACATTTCGTCTTTTCCTTGTTTGGCACTTTGGTTGCATAACCACACTTCTTGTGTTCGGAGTTGGTTTCTGACTTCACGTATCTTCATTCTCAGTGATTTCTATGAGATACGTATCTTTACTTTCGTAAGAAAGTACTCTGGTTGCTCCCGGTGTCCATAGGGGCAAAAATGCAAAGTTTCCAAATAGTGTACCATAGTCCTTTGAGATATAAATCATAGTCCATGATATAGATGTTTGGAATAAATTTTATATTGAAAGAGTTGAAAAAGCACTCACTCACTGATACGACTATCTCATGTCCGAAACCTCAAAACCAAACTTTTGACTTGATATTAGTGATTATCATGATTTAATTTTTGTTATATATTGAATTGGAAGGATTTGAAGATATTTTGAAATCTAGAGATTTAATTATTTTATTTAATTAAATTCTATTCGACTATTCCAATGATGTAAGTAACTTTTGAGTTGATATTAGTGATTATCTTGACATGTCGTTTAATATATACTAAATTTGGAATATTTGGATGAATGTTGAAATCTAGAGAATTTAATTACTTGTATTTAATTAAATTCTATTTTACTATTCATGGCTTAAATTAAAGTACTGATATGATATATGTAATGACCACGATATGATCTTTGACATATATTAATTTGAAGCCATTTGGAATTGAATTGAAATTTAGAAATTAGGCACTCTTCTTAGATGTTGTTAGCAATTGTCAGTTTGGTTTCATGGCAGTTTAGGTCATTGTTGACCTAGTGTTGGCTTTGGATAGGTAGACGGTCACCTTTTGTTTAGGCTCTCGGAGAATCCTTCGAGATCGTCTCAAGAAGAGAAGAAGAGAGAAGGACCTTGGCAGGAAGAATGTCGCTCCAGACTCTTTCCTGCAAATAAGCAAGGTGACTATCTGCAAATTTCGAAGAGAAAAAGTCAATTTTGTGACCCAGGAAGTCATATATATAATAAAAATGCTTTACGACACAGACGAAGCAAGAAGACTCGCCCGAATCATCGAATGTGGGAATGGATGGGCTATGAAAGCTCAATCGAATGAATAAATCTCGAGTAGACGAAGATCACACTCTTTTTGCAAATGTTTTTGTTCGAGAGATTCCAATCCTATGCCCCGAGCCCTACAGACTTGGCTTTAATGAACAAGTTGTGCGAGGCATGAGGTGGCATGGCCGCTCCCCTCGAGGACGGCTGGGGTATGCCTTAGACCAGAGTTTCCAGTTTGTCCAAATATCAAGTTAAACACTTAATTAGGCCAATTGAACCCTTAATTAGATTTTAATTAATCATTTTAATTAAAATCTTTAGATTTTCATACTCTGCAGATGGGTTGATTGGATTGAGAATTGTTAGACCAAAAGGGGGAGGGGGTGAATTGGTCTAAACACTTTTTTTTTTCACTTTTCTTAAGTATCTTTTTGTTGGACCAAGTGGGGGGGTGAATTGGTCAATTTCAAATCCTTCTTCCTCACAGCAAGATTAATGTTGACAAGAAAATACAATAAACACGATGTATACAACGAAAACCATGATGAATTATCTTTTGATATGTTTAATAATGTATGAATTGTGAAATCTTTTAATATGTTTAATGGTATATGTTGAATTGTAAAATTGTCTTTTGATATGTTTAATGATGATTAGGTAGCATTAATTGAATATTAAATATAAATAAATAAATATGTTATTTACGTTGCTTGTGAAAAAAGTCTTTACATTATTTACATGGAGAGAATCACCCCGTAGAAAAGTTTTTTACAGTTAGCAATATGTATTAACGAGCAGCTAGCGGCACCATAAATAAATTATTAACGAGCGGCTAGCGGCACCGTAAATAAATTATTAACGAGCAGCTAGCTGCACCGTAAATAAATTATTAACGAGCGAGTTTATTAAGCTGTCCCCTATATCCAGTGCCATCATCCCGCATAGAAGTTCGGATGGCCGTCTCTAAAAGACTGGATATGTAAAGCTGTCCGCCTTCTCTCAGGTAGTTATGATTTTTACTCTTTGTCCTTGAACAGATGCGCTTTTTCTTCTTCTTTTTTTTTTTTTTTTTTTTTAACTGTAATTAATGAAAGCAAATAGATAGTTTACAGGTTATTTAACTTATCAGTGATTTTAAATTATCATGAACAAAAACGCGCATGTTTTTAATATGACAGACGGTCGCTGCTGATATGGAGAATGCAATTCAGGAAATGGAAAATCAGGGTGTTCATTCGTACATACTGGACCTGAGGAATAACCCAGTAAATTCCTAATTGTTTATATCGGAATATGAATATTTTTTATGCTCATTGACCTCCCTTCTATATATATATATATATATAATTTTTTTTCCCCCTTTTTCAATTATTCTAAGTGTTTTTCTTTCTGATTGAAAATATATTGTGTAGGGAGGATTGGTTAAAGCAGGACTTGATGTTGCCCAAATATGGCTTGATGGAGATGAGCTCTCAAATGCATTCGTTAGGCCTATTTGTCAAAATAAAACAATTAAAGATAATTAAAAACCTCTGAAAACAAACAGAGGGCAACAGCTAAAGGTTCTAAGCCCCAACCCCTCTTACCATTTCATTTTGAGTAACGGTTACCGTGCTCATTCCTTCAGTGTGCAATTATGAATGAACAGCTAGACTGAACTTTCGGATCGCTTCTGTTGGAGATCAATGCCATCAACTTGTTAATGCATGAATTGAACACAACAAAGTTGTATTTGTACAAGAGAATTCATCAAAATGATAATAATAAATAAAAATACCCAATACAAATTCAAATGGAAAGACGACAACACATAGCACTAAAAGATGAGCTTTATCTTCAAAAAAAAAAAGATTAATCAGAGAAGATCCAAGTTTTGAGCAAAACTTATAACTTTTTTACAGGTAAAAGGAGGGCCTTCTTTGATAATAATTTTGACAGTGGTCCCTCCCTGCTTTTCTGTGGCACCTTGCAATGTCTTTAAATTCAGCTCTGCTTGGCTTCCTTCTACTGTAAATGTTTCAGCATTATGCAACTTATGCACAGTCAAGAAATTTAGTGAGGAGAAGAGAAACTTAAAATCTTTACGGCATAAATGCAATGCATATCCATAATCCCGATGGAATGCAAATGCAAAAGACTTCATTGAAAAAGAAGATTCTATATATTTTTTTGTAGTATGACATTGTCTTTTAGTGCTCCACCAAATAAACATCTGGATGTTTCTATAGTCGTGGAAGCTTTGAAATCATGAGGGCCAAAAATCTAACATGTGTCTATCGAAAATGAATGAGATCGGATGACCAAGTTTCTGAGAATTGGTCCGAGTCCTAGTTTATCAGCAGAGAAATGTACACTGATTTCATGAATAGTTATTTAGCTGAGAATATTTGCTGCACAAAGACTCAAGTTTCTGCCAGCTGTCCATACCACCCATGATTGGGTCTAATCTTTATTGAGTACCACTGCTTTATTGAACTTATCAAACAATGCACGAGGAGACTGTTTAAGGTCATAGATAGACTTCTTGAAATGACACACGCACTCCCCTTAGACTCAAATCCAAGTGGCTGAGCCATATAGACTGTCTCAGATAAACTGTCTCAGAAAGGTCACCGTGTAGAAAGGCATTTTTAACATCAAGTTGATGAAGTGGCCAGTCTTAATTAGTTGCAAGAGAGATTATCACACAAACAGAATTCAATTTGGCTGTAGATCATACTCTCCTCATCAAGAAGCACCAGGGCTTTCCCACTGCTCTTATTGTATATGTTGATGATATTGTTATCACTAGAAATGATTCAGAAGAGATTCATCGAATGAAGTCATTCTTGGGGACAGAGTTCGAGGTTAAAGACCTCGGATTATTGAGATACTTTTCCAAGTTCTGTGGGAAGTGAACCAGTGAAATGGTTTTGAGACAGATTGATATAGATTGATAAGGAGGATAGACTGAGAACTTCTGAGGGTATGGTACCATTGAGATTGTTTTCAGCAAGGTCTAGTAATAATAACTTATGACATTTCCCAAGACTTAAAGGAATGCTGCCATTGAGATTATTGTGGTTTATATTCATGGTATATATATGCAAGGTGGTTTATACATATGTTCGAACTTGGATCATGATCAACTTGATTAAAGTACCACTCAACGTCAACTTGCATGTTAGTAAAATGGATAATGTTTGCACCTTACCCTCTAATCAATTGAGCTTGGCTAGACACTGTTCATGTTCAAATATTTTCTTTTCATTAGGTGCCTAACAACTAGAAATGAGCCAATAAATTAAGTGATCATCCAGAAATTCAAGTGTCTACTAGTACTAGAAGGAAACGGCAACTGCCCATGTTTTGCTTGTGGACAAATTTCACAAACTTTATTCCATGAACAAGAAATTAAAAAAAATAAAAAAAAAAAAAAAAAAACATCCTTAATTAAATTTTGTAGAGAACGATAAGATAAGTGTCCAAGCCGGCAATGCCATAGATCAATGGAAGGAAGTTTAATGATTGCCATTGCTAAAGCTGCTTGAAAATAGTATAACCCCTCAATAACGTTACCCTGTCCAATCGTCCTCTTCGTTGATGGGTCCTGAAAAAACATTTTTCAACAAAAAAAAAAGTCACTAAACAGTTATTAGTTTTTGCAAGTTGACTCACTGATAAAAGGTTAAACTTGAATGAGGGGATAAAGAAATCATTCTTAAGTTTAATAGTGGATGAAAGATAAACAGTTCCAATGATGCATTTGACCCATCAGGAAGTTGAACGAAAGATGGACTTGGACAATATTTATAAGAGGAAAATTCAAATAAACACATGTGATTAGTTGCTCATGTATCAATAATCCAAATTGAATTCGAGGGAAGAGGGAAATTCAAATACGAATACACTCATTTGGAGAGTTAGGCACTGTATCAACTAGGCCGAATAATATAAGTTTAAACATAAAATACATTAATAAGTAATTAATGAGTGAAGATGGAATTTTATAATGGTTTATAACGTTAGTTCTAATGCTCCCAGTTCACCATTTTTTATTTCTCACATTACTTCACTAAAAACAGACATTTATGTGGAGAGAGCTGTTGCGACCCTCCTTCAGCAAATGAGTTAGGCACAGCTCATACACATCTATTTTTCTTTTCCTATAAGAAATTTGCATAAAGCTTGGAAAGATGGTGCAGGCAGTAGCACCAGAGGTGCCGCCGCCACCTCCACCACTTTTAGGAGATGGAGCAGGTGCGGGTGAACCTTCACATATGCCCATCAACACCAATATCACAAAGACACAATGCACATTGGTACTTAATATTTCTAGAGAACGAAAAAGAAGTAAATGAATAAGTAAATTAACACTACTGAGATTAAAGCGCAAGTAGAAAAGAAAATTTGTTATATAATTGAATATTCTGGGTCTAAGTTGATGGTTTTGAGAACTTATATGACATGTGAATTTCTCATCCACACCTATCTCTACACATACTCTATTTATCAAAAATAGAATTACCATTTATTTGAAGAGAATTGTAAATAGGAGGAAGAAGACAACTCCACCTAAAAACAATGCATTTTTCTCTATTTTAATTGACGAGTCTTGTGATGTATCAATAAAGAAGCAAATGGCTATTGTGTTACGTTATGTGAAGAATGGGAGTATCATTAAGCATTTTATTAGTATGGTACTTGTTACAGATACAACTACTCTTTCACTTAAGTCCTAAGGCCAAAGGAAGTGAAATCCCAAATGAACCCTATCCCGGTTCGAACCAAAACTGACACCCTCTCACTAAAACAAGGATATCTTGATCTAGGAGAAGAATCTGAAACTGAAATTGGTACCGTTGGAAATCTTACTTCAACGCGGTCAATTTAGACTTAAGAATGGGCCAATTGGGAGTTGAAACAAAGAAGTTACAAGAGCTCAAAGTTGGAAGACCAAAGCCGAACCTGCAAAATGCTACTGAATGTGATTATGTTCATTTTCAACTAAGAATTATCAATTTTTACATTCATTTTCAATTAAGAATTATCAATTACTAATGTACCTAAAATTCATTGGAACGACATCTGGACTAAGGATCAACTTAACAAATATTACATAACTAGCATAGGACATTCCTGATATTGCATAGTTGGTTTAAGAAATTGGCTTAAAGAGTCACATCACTTGCATTTATTTAATCGGGCATTCATGTGTTAATCCAATCAGTCTGAGAGCTGGTCTTTGAGTATAAAGAAGTAATAGTTAAATTGGAAGCAGATCTTCTTCTACATCATTCAGACGATTGAAGAACAGAAGTAAAACGCAGTCACACTTTAAAAGGGTTGGAGCTGTGATGTTTCTGATTTTTCAGCATTTTCATTTTCCAATAATTCGTGGAGACAAGGGCTATTTCTGTCTTTTCGCATGTTGTGTTTGGGATTGTGGTTGGGTCTAGCTGCATTTTGTGCATTTAATTTTATATGATTTATGTAGCATTCATGTGGTGCATTTTTGTGTGTGGTGTAAGAATTGAAGTAAAAGAAAATGGAAAAGGAATTCATAGTGGTGGCTAGAGACCATTTTTGGTCTCTCACTCATTTTCTCTCCCCGTACTCTCTCTTCCACTCTCTCAAACTTGCATTTTCTTTTTCTTTTTCAAGCCAATCTTTGAGACTTGATTACTCTCTCATTACTTGTCAGAATTAGGTGCCGTTTGAGGCAAAACGTCAAGCACATCGAGCTCTACGCATCCATACCTGAAATTCTAGATTTGGTGCCCTCCTTGGAGTTTGAATTTGAGGACCCATTTCAAGGGTTTTGTCCATTTTCGAGGTATGGGCCCTTAATCCACTTCCTTCTTGTTCCATTGTGAGTTATATCTCCTTTGTGTGATAAACATGCTTAATTTGAGAGTTAATTGTTTCAATGTTGTGTAATTGATGTCTAGAGAAATTCATGATTTTGATTATGATTTGTTCTATGTGAAAAACATGTTGTGGTGATAGTTTTGTTGTGTTTAATGTGTTGATGACTCAACTGATGATGTTGAATATGATGTATGCTTAGTTGTAAAGTAATTATGAAATGTAAAACTTCTACATGCCACAATATTGTAAGCTTGAGACACATATACATGTACATGCCATTGGGTTGCATGAAATGGGAGAAATCAGTTTTTGAAATGAAAACGGGAATTTTGGGAGAAGAGTTTTTGTGAAATGGTTTTGATAAACCCGGTTGCTGCGGGGTTACCAACGGGCCGGAGGTTAATATAGCCTAGAGGGGATTAGGGAGTCGCCCTAGCGTGGTTGAGCTAGCTGGGCCCCATAATGACGCCGCGGGGTTACCAAGGGTCAGGGACACTAGCCAATCCTCCTCTCGTGTTATGGTGGGGTTACCAAAGGGCGGGCTGTATTAACAGTTGGAAAGTATGGTTTTGAGAAATGAAAATGGGGAGTGACATATCATGCATTGCATTTCATTGCATTG